GGGGTTCAGGTTTGGAGTTCATCTTTTGGGGCCCATATTTCAGGCCGCAAATTTGAGGGTGCGGGTTTGGGGCTGGGGATTTCGGGCCGGGGATTTGGGAGTGGGGGCTTTTTGGGGGTGCAGATGTGGGGGTTCAGGTTTTATGGTGCAGGTTTTGGGTGTAGATTTTGGGGTTCAGGTTTTGGGGTGCAGGTTTTGGGGTGCAAGTTTTGGGGTTCAAGTTTGGAGGCGCATCTTTTGGGGCACATTATTTCGGGCCGCAAATTTGAGGGTGCGTGTTTGGGGCTGGGGATTTCGGGCCGGGGATTTGGGGGTGCGGGTTTTTGGGGGTGCAGATGTGGGGGTGCGGGTTTTGGGGGTTCAGATTTTTGGGGTGCTCACGAGTAGCTGTTGTGCTGGCGGCGGCGGGCGGTGCGCAGCTTCTCGAACCGCGCCTCCATCTCCTCCAGCACGCGCGGGGTGTAGCGCACCACCAGCTTCACCGAGCCCTGCGCCGCCTTCAGCAGCTCCACCGCCCGCTCGTGCTGCTCCCCCTCCACGCTCTGGCACCCCGTCAGCACCCCGACACCCACACCGCACCCCAAAACCCAAACCCGCACCCCAAAAACCCAGCCATCCCCCCCAGCGCCCGGGCATCCCCCTCGAAACTCCTCTGTTGCATCCCCACACCCTGAGATGCCCAGAAAACCCTCAATTGACCCCCCAAAAGCCTGCACTGAACCCCAAAACCCTGGTCTGAACCCCAAAAATCTCTGCTGATCCCCAAAAGGCTGAGCTGCACCCCAAAACCTGCACCTGCACCCCAAAAACCCGGCCATCCCCCCCAGCGCCAGGGCATCCTCCTCCAAACCCCTCTGCTGCATCCCCACACCCTGAGATGCCCAGAAAACCCTTAATTGACCCCCCAAAAGCCTGCACTGAACCCCAAAACCCTGGGCTGCACCCCCAAAATCTCTGCTGATCCCCAAAAGGCTGAGCTGCACCCCAAAACCTGCACCTGCACCCCAAAAACCCCGCCATCCCCCCCAGCACCCGGGCATCCTCCTCCAAACCCCTCTGCTGCATCCCCACACCATGAGATGCCCAGAAAACCCTCAATTGACCCCCAAAAAGCCTGCACTGAACCCCAAAACCCTGGGCTGCACCCCCAAAATCTCTGCTGAACCCCAAAAGGATGAACTGCACCCCTAAAACTGGCTCTGGGACCCCAAAAACCCGGCCATCCTCCCCAAACCCCAGGCATCCTCCTACCAAACCCCTCTGCTGCATCCCCACACCCTGAGATGCCCAGAAAACCCTTAATTGACCCCCCAAAAGCCTGCACTGAACCCCAAAACCCTGGGCTGCACCCCAAAAATCTCTGCTGAACCCCAAAAGGCTGAACTGCACCCCAAAACCTGCACCCGCACCCCAAAAACCCCGCCATCCCCCCCAAACCCCGGGCATCCTCCTCCAAACCCCTCTGCTGCATCCCTGTATCCCAAGATGCTTGGAAAACCCTGCACTCACCCCCCAAAAATACCTGGGCTGCACCCCAAAAGGCTGAACTGCACCCCAAAACCCGCACCTGCACCCCAAAACCCGCACCCGTACCCCAAAAACCCAGCCATCCCCCCCAAACCCCAGGTATCCCCCCCGAAACCCCTCTGCTGCATCCCTGTACCCCATGATGCTCGGAAAACCCTGCATCTTGACCCTCAATGGGCTGCACCCCAAAAATCTCTGCTGAACCCCAAAAGGCTGAGCTGCACCCCAAAAACCACCTGTGGTACCCCAAAACCCAGGCATCCCCCCAAAAACCCCTCTGTCGCATCCCTGTATCCCAAGATGCTTGGAAAACCCTGCACTCAACCCCCCAAAAATAACTGGGCTGCACCCCAAAAATCTCTGCTGAACCCCAAAAGGCTGAGCTGCACCCCAAAAACCACCTGTGGTACCCCAAAACCCAGGCATCCCCCCAAAAACCCCTCTGTCGCATCCCTGTATCCCAAGATGCTTGGAAAACCCTGCATCTTGACCCTCAATTGACCCCCCAAAAGCCTGAACTGAACCCCCAAACCCTGAGCTGCACCCCCAAAATCTCTGCTGAACCCCAAAAGGCTGAGCTGCACCCCAAAACAGT